GCCAGCCAAGCGCCCCTTAAGTTTTCTCTTTTTAAATAACCAGTCTTACTTTAAGACAAAGTTACTTTCTTTTTCCTCAACAAAAATGTTTTCTCTTTTCATGCTTTTCCTTACCAAAACATACATCCTACTTTCCTGGCATATAAAATTATTTCCCTTATTATTTCCAGTAGTCTTAATTATATTAATTAGAAGTTGTAACTCTCAGACCTTTAATTTCCAGTGAACGCTTTTCAGTAAGCCATTGTGAACTTTACACCAGTATTCTTTAGATTTGCAAATTTATGAATATATTTCATAATTTTTAGAAGAATATGCTTTTTTCAGTTTTCCAGTGTAGCATAGCACATCGAAATATCTTTTAGTTTCTTTGTAATAAGAAGCCAAAAGTAGATAAACCTAAATGCACTAATTAATGTTTTAGTATTTTTATCTTATTTGGAAATCGTCTAGGTATTTAAAGAATTTAACCTATCATTTAACCTTATTCAGTAAAACTTTAAGGTCTTAGGTTACCCAAAAAGATTTGGGAAAGTTACTTAAGTAGACATTGCTGAAAAGTTCATTTATAAACTTATCTTGCTTTTATTTAATTCACTTGTTTTCAGTAATTATGTTTAGATTACCTACAAAACTTCATTAAACATTGGACAACTTATTGCAAGCTATTATTTTTTCGGTGGTAAATCTTATAAGAGTTCACATGAACTTATTTGGTTAGGAAATTCAGGTAGAATAAAAGTTTTATATTTAATACTGATAACCCTAAAGACATGTCTGTTTTAATTAAACCATAAACCTTAAACTAGCTTTTATATCGAATATTTTCCCAGATCACATGAGCTTGAAAAAAATTTGGGTTAGTTTCTATCTTTTTGAGGATTTTATTTTCTTAAAGATTTTATTTACTTGCAAGAGAGAGGAGAGAGAGAGAGAGAGAGAGAGAGGGTGCGAGAACAAGGCACGCTCCTGCAAGTGGGGGGTAAGGGCAGAGGAAGAAGCAGACTCCCCACTGAGCAGGGAGCCCAACCGGGTTCTTGATCCCAGGACCCTGAGGTCATGACCTGAGCCTAAGGCAGATGCTCAACCTACTGAGCCACCCAGGCACCCCTTTTCAAGTACTTTTTTTTTTTTTAAATTAACATATAATGTACTATTTGTTTCAGGGGTCAAGTACTTTAAATTGCCCGGTCCTTACAAATGCTTGTCTTTAAACCCACTAAATAGAGAGCTCTTTCACAAATTAATTTTAGCAATACCCTCCAGAGGTAGAGCAGTAACTCACATTTATAACATATACACAAACACACAGATGCAAAAATCTTACAGTTACTAATATTTGTGGAGAAGATTCTTAAGGGAACTGTGCTCAAGTTTGGGAACAAGTGCCCCTTTAGCAGTTTCTATTTGAAAAAGGCCTCTTTCCCTTTTTTCTTTTGGTCTCAGGTGATTGTGGGCTGTGTTTACATTTCAAAGACATGATAAGAGGTTTAGCTTTAAGGAACAATGAGAGAGTATAAGTTTCTGTAAGGAGGTTTCCTAAGGCCAATAATTTACTAACCTTTTGAGAGGAACTAGGGAAGTTTGGGGATTGGCAAGAAATAGATGGATTTTGAATTGCCACTAGAACTGATTTTTGTTTTACAAAAGATTTGTAAGATAAGGATAGTTGCTCTCATTTCCTCCAAGAATTGGGTTGTAACTTAAATGACATCAAAGGTTGATCTACCTATCCTACTGCATCATCCTCAATTTGTTTCTTTCCCTCTGGGGACATAGTTTTAATTTTAAATATTTTTGGCAGTCTCGAATAACCTCCCTCCACCCCTTTGGGTGTAAGACAGGTCCCCAAAGAGGGTGCAGAGGATATTACCTTCCCCAAATCCAGAGTCACTCCCAAAGACAGCCAAAAGAGAGAACCAACAACCAGGGTTGTCCCTGGCAGGCAGAAAGCCAAGGCCAGTTATGCAAAATGAGACAAGCAAGAAAGTGTGGCTGTCTCTGGGAGAGAAAGTGATGCAGGCTGGCTGGGTCTGAGGACCCAGAGGGGTTCTGCAGGACCAGTCAAAAGGGTCCTTGGTTTTGAGAGGGATAGAAATCAAACTCAGGCAGAGAGGAAGTGAAGCAGGTTTTACTGAATAGTGTAAGTGATAGAGCATAGCAGACGGAGCATCTGGGAGACTCACAAAGGGAAGGAGAGAGAGTCTTGTTTTTGCTTGGGGTTTGGGGGTTTATTGAGGATGGTGGTCTGGTATATATATGTATCCTCTCAGGCATCAAGGAACTGGTGAAAAAAGAACAAGTGCTCAGGTGTCCTTCACACATCACTTACGCCCTGGAGCCAGGGGTCTTGGTGTCAGTGGTCTTGGGAAAGGGTACAAGATGCCTCTGCCTGGTCATTCCTTAGATGTTATCTATTGTCCTGGAAGACTCCAAAGAAATCATGAACTCCTTTACAAAGGAGTTACAAAGAAGACATATATTATCTGAACTATTAGCATGTGAAAAGCAAGGGTGCCCATCTGGGAGCCCCTCCTATGAAGGTAGATATGGGGTTGTCTGTAAGGCCATTGACTTGGAGGAATTTTGTTTACGGTTGTGTAGTCTCTTCAGAGTGGAAAAATAATTTAGATTAGAATAAGTACTCAGAGGAGGAAAGAGGGGAGCAGTAGGTGTTATGTCACTCTTACAGTCTTTTGTGTTCCTCCCATGTCTTTAATTTTTCATTAGTCTTTTGCAATGAATCTTTCAATGCAACTATTTTGGAATCTTGAAACCTTTTGGAGGCGCTTGCTTGCCAATTAAAATAGGTATCCCATTCAGTTTAATTTGGGAACCCTTTCTTTCAAGTGCAATTCTTAAATGAATGATTTTATCTAATTGGAATATTTCCCATAATGGTCATTGTAATTTTAGCTTGTTTTTAGGAAAATTTTACCATTTTTATAGATAGTCACAGCTCCCTGCATCGGTTTTTAGACATGAGATAAGCAGGTGTTCCGGAAGGTTTCTTTAGAATTTAAGGATCCCATTAGCTAAGGCTTTATTTACACAAAACAAGTCAAGACAAACATGTGTATCCTCACACACCAGCAGTAACCAAAAGATGTCATTGTGGACAGGCCAAGAGAAGGCCGTGTGCACCCCCAGCAATTCCCAGCATAGACGAAGTCAGCAGACTCCATAAACAGAGACTGTGGATTGGAAATGGGGAAAGGACGAAAGCAGCAAATGCCAGGAAATGCGGAATACAGCTGGGAACTGGGGGAGGGATTCCAGTGTGGGGCTGTGGACTGAACCAAGGGCTAGGGACAGGTGCTCCGTGAGAGCCTCCTGTCAGTCTACATTGACCGATTAACCCTGGCCTGGGAAGCCAATTAGGTTGGTAGCTTGAATGCAAAAAGAGCAGAGCTCAAACCAAGAGTCACTGACAGCCTGCAGAGATGGTGCAAAAGTGAACTCAGAAGGGTTTGCAAGGCATTATGTTTGTTTCTTATTGTCCCTGAGTGCTGGCAAAAGTTCACTTTGGATCCCATTGCTGCCACCAAATCTGTTAAAAACCAAAATTCAATCAAGTAAATCTGAGGCTCTAGTTGGCTTTATTAAATGGTTCATGAATTAGGCAGCATCCCATCTAGCAAGTAGAGGGAGCTCCATTGAACTAAGCAAAAGAAAGGTCTTTAGAGGCAGAGAGAGGACATCACGAAGAGAAGGAACGAGTGTATTAACAAGGAATGCATTGCTTTGGCAAGGTTGCCCTCATAAGGGGAGTCAAAGGGGTCTATTAGTAAATTTTCTAATATTCACCGGGAAATTCCATGCTGATTGGTTAAAGTTAACATTCCTAGGAGGTTGAAACTGGAGTTAGGTTAGGTATGAAGTCTTGGTTTACTGACTTGGGGTCTTAACCTAAGTGACACCATTTTGGGCCTGTGGTTTCCTTTTCAATACAACCTTAAAGCTGGAAAACTAGAGTGTAATCTCATTTTACAGATGGAGAAATAGAGTCCTAGGGAGGTAAAGTGAGTTGCATAAGTCAATGCCACCCCCAGACAGAGTTAGTCACAAACTGTCCTACCTTCCCTTCTATTCTTCTAAGGGCCCATTCATCTTTCCCCCAAATCATTTACTCTCTCCTAAGAGGCCTGCATCCCTCCCTCCTCTTTTCCTATTAAGATGGTATTTAATCCTGAATTCTAAAGCCACCTCTGGGATTTACTCATTTTCCTTGCCTATCTCCTGTGACTACATAAGGAGTAGATGCTAATAATCTGTTTCTCTCCTATTGATCTCTCTTTCATCACAGGCGTCTCAGCTGAGAACTCAGAAGGGTAGAAGGAAAATGATGTTTTTCTCTCTTGAAAGGCATATCTAGATTAAAAAAAAACCTGGGAGACCTCTACCCATCATAGGTCTTTGTGCCTGTAGCTCCCACTTGAGGGGTTGTACTGATTAGCAGGTTGACAAAGGGATGGAATTTAAAATAGCCCTTTGTCTCCGGAGGGAGGGACATGTACCTTACTGTGCGGCAGGTTGTTTGCCTGGAAGTGACTTGCCTTTTGCAGGAAGTTTCTTTCCCTTGCTCCCTTCTTTCCTGAACTCCGGAATCTGTCACATTAGTTTTCCTCAGGGTCCTTTCAGTTTCTGCCTAATGAGACCGGTGGTAGCTGAGTGTGTGATTGACACTCGGTATGTACAGCTTGTATTCATCTTCCTGAGAAAGGGCATTGCACAATAAAGGATTGCCAAGGGCAACTGTGTTGGCATTTCTGGGAGCCCCACAGCATTCCCAGCAGCTCCGTTCCCGCCCCAGGGGAAGGAAACACCGCTGGTGACCAGTGGGTGGAGGGAGGCGGGGCTTGGAAAGTAATTAAAATATTCATATGCAGAGAGACCTTGAGTTCTTTGCTCATTGCCCATTAGACCTCTTTACTTTTCACCCACATACGGTTCTCCTGATTTCCAGGACACAAAGCCAAGTCTACGCTGGAGGGAAATACTTTTGGAGTACAATCAAATCAGTTGCAAATGAGTTACAACATCTCAATTGCTTTAATAGATCAAACAAAACTTCACTGTGTACTCCAGGCACCAGAACTGATCCCCCTCAGTGGAGTTCCCCAGCTCAAAAACATGCAAATCTTTGGCCTGCCCATAGCGAGGTCCTAAGCAATGCCCTTGAGGGCTTAACCAGGACACGGTACCTTGGAAGAGAGCTCGCTGAGCATGCGGCTTGCCAGGATGGTGTAACTAGCAAGCTAGCTGGAACAGGCTCTCTTGCTTCAGGCCAGTGAATACTTATGTCAGGCCAGAAGTAAGGAAAATTGATTTTACTTACTTTGTACCCTGTGTATTGCCTGCGGAGAGGGTGGGTAAGTGAAGCAGTTTTGTGTGTGTGTGTGTGTGTGTGTTGGTAGCTCAGTTGGTAGTTCCAGCAAGGCTTGCTGCCCATACCCTCCCTCTTCCTCTGTTCCAGCTTCTCTCCCTGTTCTGTCTTCAGAACAGAACTCTGTGAGCTGCACATAAATGTGCATAGGATAGGCACACGCCTCTGTGTCTCAATTGGGTCCCTTTTAATTTAGCTGGGTGGTCCTTCAAATTCAAACTTCAAAAGCAGGTGGAGTGAATAGAGATTTATAGGATGATCTTTCAAATTGAAAAAAACAAACTCCATTTGATAAAAGTGGTTTACTGATTGATACAAAATAAACTGTACACACTTAAAGTATGCAATGTGATAAGTCTAGGCATATGTATATACCCGTGAACTCATCAGCATAATCAAGATAATGGGCATATTCATCACCTCCAAGAATTTCCTCTTGCCCCTTTGTAACCCACCCTTCTCCTCTCTTCCCGGCCCCCACTCACACCATTCCCACACACTAGGCAACCACAGATCTGCTTTCTTTCATATTAGATTTGTCTTCATCTTCTAGAAATTTATATAAATGGAATCACACATGTATACTCTTTTTTGTCTGGCTCCTTTTACTCTAATTATTTTGAGATTTATCAATGTTGACTGATTTTTTTTTTTTTATGTCTGATCTTACATATTGGTTACTCTTAGAAAATCTCATTTTTAAAAAAAAATTTATTATTATTATTTTTTAAGATTTTATTTATTTATTTGACAGAGAGAGACACAGGGAGACACAAGCAGGGGGAGTGGGAGAGGGAGAAGCAGGCTTCCCGCCGAGCAGGGAGCCCGATGCGGGGCTCGATCCCAGGACCCTGGGATCATGACCCGAGCCGAAGGCAGACACTTAACGACTGAGCCACCCAGGCGCCACAGAAAATCTCATTTTTGACTGGATTCAGACTTAGAGGTAGAAGCTCCTAGAGTGGACAGCCTCCATCTCTTGGCAATCTGTTCCTGGTGTCTTTCTTTGGCTTTCTTCATTCTCTTGGCCAAAAGTTTAGCATATTTTGCAGCCTCTGATTTTTCTTAATATGTTATTTCTTCAGAGCAATATGCTGATGTTTGTGTCACATGATCGGTGAGTAACAAGATGTTGTATCTTGTGCACTTTGGTTCTAGGTTTCTTACTGTCTTTGTTCAGGGGCAAGAACCACATACTGGCGGGCATAATCTTCTTTAGAAAGATCGAAAAGTTTGCGGATTCTGCTAGCTCTTTTGGGTCCCAAGCGACAGGGCATGGTAATATCAGTGAGTCCAGGAATATTCTTCTCCTCCCCGCCCCGCTTTTTTTTTTTTTTTTTTTTTTTTACAATAACCAAGTTGAGAACACTAAGATAGACATCCACAGTGCAACCTGGAACAGATTTGTGCTTTCTTTCTTCAGTCTTCCTTGGTCTGTAACAGGAATGCCGTGTAGCAGGCAGACACGGCCATGGGTCAAGACACCCTGCTTCATGGGGAAGCCTTCTTTGTCATTCCCACTACTGACTGGGACCACACTACCCTTCCATTCTTTACCCAGAGCATCAGTAGCAACTTCTGTGGTCATATGCTTCTCATAAATTTGCATTTATTGTCCCCTTCAATGAGTTTCTGGCAGCCAGTAGCTAGGAAAGAGATGTTCAGCTTCACCCTGAAGCAGCTGACCACCTCTGAGGTGCCATGAAAAAGAGCTATGTCGAGTGAACTTTGTTAGTTTGTAACTTTCAAAGAATTGGTCAATTTAAAAATTGTTAAATTTATTGACATAAAGTTGATCATACTAGTTCCTTATAATTCTTTTAATATTTGTAGAATTTAAGGTATAGTCACCTCTGTCATTTCTAATACTATTAATTTTTGTTTTCTCTGGTTTTTCCCCCTGATAATTCTGCTTAGAAGTTCTTCAATTTTATTGATATTCTCAAACAAGCAGCTTTTGGTTTCTTTGGTTTCTCTATTGTTTTTCTGGTTTCTGTTCATTGATTTTTGCTCGATATTTATTCCTTCCTTCCACTTTACTTTTTTTAAAAAAAAACTATTTATTTATTTGAGAGAGAGAGAATGAGAAAGAAAGATAGAGCACATGAGAGGGGGGAGGGTCAGAGGGAGAAGCAGACTCCCTGCTGAGCAGGGAGAGCGATGCAGGATTTGATCCTGGGACTCCAGGATCATGACCTGAGCCTAAGGCAGTCACCCAACCAACTGAGCCACCCACGCGCCCCTCCTTCTGCTTTACTTTTAACTCCTTGGTTTAATTTGCTTTTCTTTTTTAAAGTTCATAAATTAGTTTCCTATTGCTGCTATAACAAATGACTACAAACTTAGTGACTTTAAACAACAAAAATTTGTTATTTTATAGTTCTGGAGGTCAGAAGTCCAAAATTGGTCTCCTTGGGCTAAAGTCAAGGTGTCATCAGGGTTGGTTCCTTCTGGAGGCTCTAGAAAAGCATCTGTTTCCTTTCCTTTTCTAGTTTCTAGATGCCTTGGCTCTTGGCTTCTTCCTCCATCTTTATAGCCAACAGCATAGTGTCATTACATTCTCTTAATTATCTGTTTCTATCATCACATGGCTTTCTCTGGTTCTGACCCTCCTGCCTCTCTCTTATAAGGACTCTCATGATTACAATAGGTCCATTTGAATAATTTCCTCATCTCAAGATCCTTAATGACATCCTTTTGCCATGTAAGGTAATGTGTTCAGAGGTTCTAGGGATTAGGATGTGGATATCTTTCAGGGGACCATTATTTAGCCTACCATACCATTCTTTTCCTTTTAACCTGTTAGTTTCTTATATTTAAAGTAGGTTTATGGTAGGAAGCAAGTTCTTCTTTTAAAATCCTTTTAATTACATTGTTTAGGCTATTTATGTTTACTGTGACTATTGATAAAGGTGAATTTAAATCTTCCGTTTGCTTTGTGTTTGCTATTTGCCTCATCTGTTCTTTGTTCTCTTTTTCTTCTTTTGTGCCCTTAGTCTGCCATAATAAAATGCCACAGACTGGGTAGCTTAAAAACAATGGAAATTTACTTCCAATGGTTCCGGAGACTGGAAGTCTGAAATAGGGTACCTGCATGATTGGGTGAAAACACTCTTCTCAGTTGCAGACTTCTGGTCCTGTCCTGACCTGATAGAAGTAGATAGGGATATCTCAAAAGTCTCTTTTCTAAGGGCATCAGTCCCATTCATGAAGGCTCTGCCTTCATGATCTAATCACGTCTCAAAGGCCCCAACTTCCAATACCATCATCTTCGATATTAGGATTTTGACATATGAATTTTGGAGGAATACATTCAGACCATAGAATGCCCTTCTTTTGGATTAAGTATTTTTGATGATTCCATTTCATCTCTGTTTTTGGATTGCTGTAACTCTGTTGTATTTTTTAGTGTTTGCTTTGTGGTTTATAGTAAACATCTTTAACTTATCACAATATATGCTCATGTGATATACCATTTCAAATACAATATTAGAACCTTATGGTATACTTTTATTTCTTCCTCTTGACCTCTGTGCTATATTATTTACATTCTATTTTTACATACATTATAAGCCTCAAAACATTTTTTCTTTAAAGTCAATTATCATTCCAAGAGATTTAAAAATTAAGGAAAAACATCTGACTTTCATCTACATAGTTATACTTTCTGGTGCTCTTTATCTCCGTATGTATATCCAGATTTCTAGCTGATAAAATTTTCTATCTGCCTGAGTTACTTTATTTGATATTTCTTATAGTTACGGTCTGCTGGTAATGTCTTCTTTCAGCTTTTATATCTCTGAAAAAACAATTATTTCATATTTTTTTAAAAAAGATTTTATTTATTTTAAAGAGAAAGAGTGCGAGAGCAGGGGGAGGGGGAAAGGGAGAGGCAAAGAATCCCAAGCACACTCCACTTTGAGGAGCCCAGCTGGGAGCTCAGTTCCACTATCCATGAGATCATGACCTGAGACAAAAAATCACAAGTCAGATGCTTAACCGACTGAGCCACCCAGGCACCCCAATTATTTCACATTTTTAAAAAGGATATTTTTGCTGGGTATAGAATTCCATTTCAGTACTTTGAATATGTGCTTTAGTCCCTTCTAACTTGCATTCTTTTCACTAGGAGTGTGCTATAATTATCTGGTAAATTACCTTTTTTTTTTTTTTTTTTGCATATTATAACCTTAATAATAGGCCACATAATGACCTCCCTACATGCTTTTAACATTTTCTCTTTATCATTGGAATCTCTTTATTAATGCAATCTCATTATGATGTACTTTAGTTTTCTTCATGTTTCTTATATTGGGATTTTGTTGAATTTCTTAGCACTGTGAATTTATAGTTTTCATTAAATTTCTGACCATTATTTCTATTATGATTATGATTTCCTCTTCCTACTTCAGGAACTCCAATTACCTATATAACAGGCCACTTGAAGTTGTCCTAGATCTCACTGATGCTCTTTTCATCTTTTTCTTCAGACTCTTTTCTGTTTTTCATTTTGAATACTTTCTATTATAATATCACTAAGCTTACTAATCTAACAGTATGATCCTTTTGGGTGTTGCTTTTAGATTTTGTTAGGCAGGACCAGAACAGCTCTTAGTCTAGGGCTAATTTCCCCCTATTACTAAGGTAAAACTTTTGAATGTATGCTAATAGCCCTGAACTATGAGGTTTTCTTTTCTGGTTTGTGGAAACGGGAACTGTTTTTTGGTAATATATGACCTTTGGCTATTGTTCCTTCTAATCTCATTGGGTATCCCCACCACCTTGACCTCAGCAGGCCTCAGGTCATTTCCTGATATACAAATGTTGCTCAGCACTCAACTAAAGACTTATGCTGGGCTGTCTGCAGATCTTACGGGCTCTCATTAGGCCCTGTTCCTTCCAGTACTCTCCTATGCCAACTCTAGCTATTTTGGTCTCCTCAGACTCAGCTCTGTCTCTTCAACTCAGGGATGATGCTAGCT